CTGAAAGTTGTAGTTCTTGAAAAAGGGAATTATTTTACTAAAACAGATTATTCTGCTCTAGAAGGACCTTCCATGAATCAACTTTATGAATCTGGAGGAATTCTTGCAACCTTGGATGGAAAAATGCTGGTTCTTGCAGGATCAACAGTGGGTGGTGGATCTGCTGTCAATTGGTCAGCCTGTATTAAAACGCCAAATTCTGTACTTCAAGAATGGTCTAAAGATCACAAAATTCCAATGTTTGCAAGTTCTCAGTATTCCTCTGCTATGGATATTGTGTACGAAAGACTTGGTGTCACGGAGAATTGTATCCAAGAGGGGTTTCAGAATCAGATTTTACGAAAAGGGTGTGAAAAATTAGGCCTCGAAGTTGAATCCGTCCCACGAAATTCCTCAGAAAGTCATTACTGTGGTTCTTGTTGCTATGGCTGTATTCGAGGTGACAAGAAAGGGACTGACACGACTTGGCTAGTCGATGCAGTGAATTCTGGTGCAGTGATCATAACAGGATGCAAAGCCGAGAGATTTGTACTGGAAAAGAACGAGTATGGAAGTACAAGGCGGAAGAAATGCTTAGGAGTGATTGCAAAGAGTATGAATACAGATTTTACAAACAGGATACGAATTGAGGCTAAGGCGACAATCTCAGCTTGTGGTTCTCTCTTGACCCCTCCATTGATGATTTCTAGTGGTTTAACGAATAAAAACATCGGTCACAATCTTCATCTTCACCCGGTTCTGATGGCGTGGGGATACTTCCCGGAGTCCAATTCAGATCTCAAAGGAAAGATTTACGACGGAGGTATAATCACCTCGTTGCATAAAGTTAGATCAGATGGATCAAATGCAAGAGCCATTATAGAATCCCCTATTCTAGGGCCGGGATCATTTGCTGCATTATGTCCTTGGAAGTCAGGAATGGACTTAAAGAACAGGATGATGAGGTACTCTAGAACGGCTCATCTGTTCTCAATGATTCGAGATAGAGGCTCGGGGGAAGTTACATCAGAAGGAAGAATTAATTATACGTTCGATAAACTGGACAAAGAAAATATGAAGGCAGGTATACGTGAAGCGTTAAGGATTTTGATAGCGGCTGGCGCTGCCGAGGTGGGCACTCATCGGAGTGATGGACAAAAGCTGATATGTAAAGGCAAAAGTAACAAAGAGTTGGAGGAGTTTCTTGACACAGTTAATGTCCCGGAAGGGCCTAAATCTCTGGTCGAAAACTGGACAACTTATTGTTCTGCGCATCAAATGGGAAGCTGCAGAATTGGGATTAACGAAGAGGAGGGTGCAGTGGACGAAAATGGAGAGACTTGGGAAGCCGAAGGCCTATTTGTTTGCGATGCTAGTGTTCTTCCGAGCGCCATCGGAATCAATCCTATGATAACCATTCAAGCAACTTCATATTGCCTCTCGAGAAAAGTAGCCGAGAGGCTGAAAGTTTTAGCTAGTGTAGTACATTCTTTATCGTGTTTACACACATACTTGTAATCTGCCTCGTTATACATTGTCGAATAAGCAAGGCAACACAATGATGATACTATTTGGTATGCTAGATTGGATTGCATACATGAGTAATAAAAAAGAAAAAATTTGAATCTTTTAGTTAACCAAACACAAATATGTGAATCTCTCTCAAAATTATTAATTCGATTATGAAGATGTTCCTCATATTTAAACTTAGGAGCCATGGGAAAAATTTACAATATCTCTCTCTTTTTTCTTTTTTCTTTTTTTCCTGTCAAGTAAATCTCTCGTAGTAAGGAAAAAAAAAACAACTTACCCTGTCAATATTTGAAAAGAACTCCAAGTAAAGTATCAACCGTAGAGGAACTCATTAAAATAACTGGAGTTGGATTTTTGGAAACAATACATCTCCCACATGTAATAATCACATTTCAAAACTAACAAATTTGTCAAATTATTTCAAAATTCACAAGTTATTCCCATTAATGATATATAATTAATTGAAATTAATTATCCTCACCCAATTAATAGTATCCCCACACCCACCAAATTAATAATATATCAATTAATGATATCTCACGCGACTAGCCCCAGCCCCACATGTAATTTTTTTTCAAAAATTGAAAGCTTTTCTCGAGATTGCACTCCCACCCCAACCTTTAAAAATTCAAAAATTTTAAGATTTTTTTTTTTTAACACCCAGTGCTCTAGATTTGTCACTAACTATATATTTGTGCCCAAATTTTTTTGTGTGATTAGACTTGTGTTATATGTGACTATCTGCAATCAAATTTAAGTGTGACTGCATGTAACCAAATCACTAACATGTATTATATGTGATTAATTGTAAATAAATAAATAAGATAAAATAAAAATTGTTTTTATTGTCACTAACTGTAATAAAACTTGTCTTCAGTATAACTGTCTATGATCGTCTAATTTGTGACTGTATATAAATAAGTTACCAACATGTGTTATATGTGACTAACTATAACCAAATTGGTCTTCATCGCGACTGTCTGTGATGATGTCAATTTTAACTGTGATGGTATGAGATCAAGTCACAACTGATCACAATTAACATTAAATTGGTCACAAACAATCACAATAAACACATATTTTGTCATAGAGGGTCCAAACAAATCTGCACACACTTATCATCTATCTCAAGAATTCTGCACAAACAAATCCACACAAGAATTACTGCAGAAATGCCACTTCCAATGTCCTATAGAGCTAGTGGCTAACTTGGCGGAATGGGAGTGGAAGCGGACAAGTGTGCAGGCCTGGGCCTCAGAACCCTCTGTCAGTCCAATTTTTCATTTTTTTTATTTTTAATGAGAACTATACACCACTGGTTTGATGAATCGAGTAGATGGCCCCTCAAATCGACTTGATAAGTTGTGCGTACTTTCACAAGGCTAAAGCTATCAATTGGCATCAAGCCATCTAAGAATTCGATCAAACAATCGATTCTCTTCCGAACTTTCTTTGCGAAAGGAGATATCTCATAGCCATCATTTACTATCTCTTAAGTCTGGTTTGGTATAATTGAGCTTTTAATAAAGAATCAGCAGTGGAAAAATAATAATAATAATAATAATAATAATAATAATAATAATAATAATAATAATAATAATAAGTGTTTTGTGAACTTCTGTAATATGGGTCGAGATTAAGATGGATGACAAATTCTAATTTCGTAGCATTATAGCATGTTGAATCCTGTAAGGCACTATGAAATAATTCAAGGGTAAGTTATTTTCATTTTGTAGAATGAGATTAGAGATCTTTCGCAATAGAATCTATATCTCCACACTTTTTTTTATCGTATTCTTATTATAAACCGGGGCAGACTCAGATTTCTTGTGCTGTGGGGTCAAAAATTGGAGTGTGGTTTTTAAAAAAATACTGTAATATTAATGAATAAGTTAATACACATTTGAAACTTTGAAAACGTTTTATAACTATATCATTATCAATATTGTTAAATGAATTTTGCTATTTGTATAGTTTTATTTATCATTTTGTTGACAAATATTGTTGAGTTGATGACCAAAAAATCAAATTGAATGTAGGAAGTAAATGAAATTTAAATTTAATGCAAAAATAATTCGAAAGTAATTCAAATTATATTTAATGTGTAATGATCCTAAAATTTTTGACGTCGTATTCCATGAAAAATTTCCTAATAGAATGATATAAACTATATTAAAAAATTTATCGTGCAAAAATAAAAAAAATTAATGAAATAATTGAAATTTTTTAAAGAAAAGATGAGTTAGTCGATTCTTTTAAGATGTACGTTTAACGCATATTTAACTATTTTTTATATTCGTTTGGGCCATTCAATATAACTACGATGTAATTCTAGAAACGAGCTTTTAAATGACATAGACGATTTGTGGAATTCGATAATCGACGAAATTTGAAAGTTAGAATGTTATGGAAATTCTTTAAATACTAGTTTGGAACGGCCTACTTCAATACGTCGTAATTTTTGTTATGATTGGTCAGTTCGCACACTATTAAAGCTATGAGCACTTCAAAATGATATTAAGAATACAATATTTCAACTTCATTTGTATCTCTTAATGAGTGCGTCAAAGTATAGTCAAAACAACTATTTTCTGAAAAATAATAATAATAATAAGTGACGACCCAAAAATTTTGTGGGGTCATTTGACCCCCACACGACCCACGACCCACGTGGGGTCCGTCCCTATAAGTCTTTCATAATTAGAACATCTTCTGCTGAGAATGTCCATTCAAAGGGTGTAAAATGATTTATTTGCTCATCATATTTCTGACAAAAAACAATAAAAAATAGAAAGTCCAAAACATATATTTTTACAGTTTTTCGCTTCAAATTAAGCCCCACTTCAGCCTTTTTTTCTTCCTTTTTTTTTTTTTTTTTTTTGGAGAATGTGTGTGGTTAAAAAAAAGAAGAAGAAAAACCTTCAATTTACATGTAATATTATTTTATAAAAAATTGTATGATTAAAATGAAAAAGAAAAAAAAATGAACTAGAGAGGAGGCCAAACTGGCCAAGGAAACAGAATATTTTGACAGTGTGAATTCTTTCAAGGCAAGGGGCGGCCTGATTCAACATTGTTGTTTACTCTGATCCGATCGAGGTGGTTTTCGTTTACCAGCACGTAGGTGGTCTAAATTCCTATGACCGAGTCTTTCTGGCCCATGTGAACATCTTTTCTTAATGTATTAAAGAGGGCCTCTCTAACCGTGAAAAGTGGTGGGTGTCCACTAACGAAAAAAAATGAAAGAGAGAGGAGGCCAGACTGGCCGAGGAAACAGAATATTTTGACAGTGTACATCATCAATATATGCTAATTAATAGAAGGTCGAAAATAAAGAATCTCATGAAAAATTTTACAATTTTTATATGTGCAATTCAACCAAATAAACCAATAAACAACTTCTCTGTGAAAGGTTTCAATATTTCCCACATTAATATAGAAAATAAAATAAGTAACATATTGAAAATAATTATATAACACAGACGACATATGTTCCCAAATTAATACCACAGTAGAAGAGACAAGTACTTAATGAACTACAAAAGTCTCAGATATATAAACAGTTTCGGTACTTGATTTGTTCATCGACTACGGTAACAATGCAATAATAAAAAGTAAGATTCGACAAGGTATTCAAAAAAAAAAAAAAAAATTGAAGAAATTGGAATATGATAGCCGAAAAACGTTCAGAATTATGGTAATACATCATTTCCTTTTTCCTGTTCCAATTGTTAGCAGCTCGAAGCTTCGGAGAGTATCATCCCGGGCACCTCTTGACGCCACAGCACGAGTAAAAGAAGATGTCTTAGATTCAATTCCAGGTTGTAATCTTTGGGTGGTAGATAGACGACCACTGCCAGAGCCCAGCCGCCTATGATGATGTTCACTGGGTTCCACAGAGGAGCTTGGCCTGCTGCTCGACAAAACGGGCCTCTTTGAACTACTACCAGGTCGAGACACCCGTCCTCGTTCAGAGTCGATGTGCTAGAGAATGAATATGAGCATTTATGAGATTAAAATTCAAAGAGAAACAAGTAACAACCGCTTAAGGACACTAATAATCACTAAACTTTTAAAGAAATTTCATATATTGTTCCAAATTGATCATTGAACTTAAAATTTATTACTCTAGTACTTTATTCAATTTCTGTTAGTTTGACTACACGAAAAACAGTATTTTCATTAGTAAAACAAATGGATATGAACGGACAGTAATGCTATTCATTTTGGTGATGATCATAACCAGTTTATCACCATTTTAAATGACGGTGAACCCCGATTCATTGCCCAATGGAGTTATGATGCATTTTAATGCACCGGAAAATGAATAGGGGGCCCACTACCAACTAGAATGGTGTAACAAAGTTTGAGTTCCGTGACCACTAGCATTTTTAACCCAAGTAACAGCAAAAGTAAATGAAGTATGAACAAATTGAAATTTAAAAGGTTATAGTATGGACCGCATCTTTTGATGATGGTGCATCCTCTTTGGATCTATGCCTTGAGTGATTTCCATGCATGCCTGTACTAGAACCATTCCTTCTTGCAAATCCCTGCACAGCACCCGAGAATCTGTCTCGAACTTCATGCTTCACTAGATGACACAACATTGCAACCATTTAATGGCTTGACAACTTTACATCATTTATGTTACATCTATAAAACAGGAACTTTGTGGATCATGCTGCAGGCAGGTACCCTATCTTGTTTTCTAATAGTGAAATAAACGCAATGGTTCTTCAAATATATACAAAATATTCTTATTTCTCACATATTTCAGCACATAATAACAAAAGGGGCGGTGAAAGGGGGATTTAGAAGAAAAGAAATCTATTCTGATGCTTTTTCACCCACATTTACACCCCATCTCCCTTCTACTTCCCTCTGATCACAACTCGCGTTGGGGCGAGGGGTGCAGGCAGCAGTTGACAAACAAGCATAACATATCTACAATAAAAAGTGCACTAAAAAGTTTTCTCAGTCATTTTTAGTCTATGTTTGCCAAAAGTTTTCAAGTGGTTACAAGTTGTTGGTCCAACCAAAACCAGACCTATTCCTATGCACGCCCAACCAAATTCATGACCTGCTATCTTCAAATGTGAAAGTGTGCTTGAAAACTCCAAGTGAGTCACCACCATTACAGCAAAGGGAATCTTATAGGGGTGCACCACAAAACTTAAGATCTATTAACTGGCCGAAAATTAACCAATTTTGTCGGAAGCTTCTTCTCCATTCACTATCGATGAAGCTGAGGTCACCAGAGATTCATCTTCCCAAATTTCTCTTTCCCTTAGAAATGCATGTTTAAAATGATATAAAACATCTCTTTATCTCTGATTAAATATATTTGTTGGAAATTGGTTTAACAAAAAAGTGACTTTTGTATCAACTTGATCGGCCTCCAATATGATTCAAGTACTCTAAAAGGCCCCAGAAGGATGGAGAATCGGCTCAACAGCTGAAGGGAAAATAATTTCTGTTATGAGAGGCATGTGGGCAAATGAATTCTGTTAGAAGAAGGTTATAAATAGAAGAGGGTAAGAAAGGGTAGAGCAGGCAATTGTTTAGTGAGGAATGGAGTAGAAACTCGTTTATCATTTTATTTTTCTGTAATCACCTTTTTTTCAATCAAAGAGCTGTGCAATCTTCATTTGAACTTGTTCTTTCCAGTTGTTTTCCTATCAATTGGTATCAGAGCAGCTTTCCTAATGGCCCAAAAGAAAACGGACAACAGAATGGATCTCTTGGAAAAGGAAATGGAAGAAGTGAAAGTAGGAATTCAGCGCCTTCCCGGACTGGAGAAATCAGTGGAACATTTAGCTCAGAGCGTGTTTAAGATGCTTCAATCCATGGAGGAAACCAAAAGGGCAGTGACAGCCCTGTCCAATGCAGAAACTGGACTGAGCGATAACGGGGAGGAGATGGATCAGGGAGTACCTCCGAAGGGCCAGCACTACGGAATAAACCACCAGAGGGCATTGAGAATCACCCACATGCAGATCGAGGGAAGTGGCCGGAGGGCATGGAGGAGGCTAGCTATGGGGGAACCACGGCTATCATGAGACCGAACAGGGAGGAGGAAGGGTGGCAACAAGTGCGGAAGCTCGAAATGCCCGTTTTTAGCAGGAAAACCCAGATGGATGGCTATTCCAAGAAAAAAGATATTTCGAGATCAATGGGCTGTCGGAACGAGAGAGAATAGGAGCAATCGCGGTCAACTTAGAGGGAGAGGCTCTGGCTTGGCTTCAATGGACAGAGGCGCGACCCCCCTTCCAAACTTGGCAGCAATTTCAGCAACAATTGCTACTGCTATTCAGATCTACGCAAGAAGGTAATCTCTGTGAAAGATTTTTTGCTATAAAACAGGCGAGTAGCGTAGCAAAGTTCCGGCGAGAGTTTGAGGCGTTGGCTACTCCGTTGAGAGGGGTATCTGACGAGATCTTTGAAAGCACCTTTGTAAATGGGCTAAGACCAGATATAAAAGCCGAATTGAGGTTATTAGGCCCAAAGGGATTGGGCCCAATTATGGAGACGGCCTAGAAAATTGAGGACCAAAATCTGATTATCAAGCATTTTCAGGAGCC